AAAGGTAACTTATTCTGCAACATAGTGGATTTAACCGCTTCTTGCCTCTGCGTTTCTTGGTTTATGCTTTCCCCTTTTTATCGATGTTATGGTTAAACTTCCGTCAATTTTTTATGGCCTATAATCATGTCTTTTTTTTCAATTTCTTGAAGAAGCATTGGCTGTAGATTGCCTATGCAGAATCATTTTTATGATTATATAAGTAAAATATGACCCAGTCATAGAATGCGGAAGCGCATATAAAAAGTTGGAGCTCACTGCGCAACACTGCCACTGTTCTAATGGGGCAAAAATATAATTTATTTCAGGAAACGGTAGTAATTAAGATTATTTGGCAAGATCAAAGATCTGCCATGATAAGAATGTTTTTCTTAACCGGATGTTGGAGAGGCTGATGGCCAGCTAAATTCAGAGTGCTCGTAGTTGTACTTGTAGATGTGCTTTTACAAAGCGATTCTATCAAGATTATGCGCAGCGGGTTGGCAAAACGGCCGACAAGTGAATGATTGTGGAATGTGTTACGAAGCAGAGGTTCGAAAATGCCACTACACTCTTTTAAAATAAACATACATGTTAGATCTTAATGGTAGGTTCGGCTGACCATCAGAATCGAAGTCCAGATTGCAGTCGTTGTTTGAGCAGGCGACATACTGCGCATCCATAACTTTCTTTTATGTGAAACGAGATTCATAAAACACTTCAAAAATATTTCCACAGTTAAATTATAATTAAATATTTTGCATGGGCTGCGATGATTGTTAAATTCTGGAAATTTCCACAGAGGCATTTTACCGAAAAGGTGAGAAATATTTACTAATGCTGTTAAAACGAAGGAAAAGTAATTTGTTCAACGTTCTAGTTCATTACTTGCGTAATTCAAGCACATGTTTATTGAGGAGTTAAAGGCACATTGTCGTTTTAATTTGCACTTCGATTAAATACTCATTATCTTGTCAGTCGCTGATATGGAGTCCAAACTCGAAGACAAAAGATCACCAGTCAGTGCATCACATGACAATGGAAAGTAAACGGAAATCTGTTGTCCATGAGAAGCATTCCTCTTGTCGACGCAGTTAAGAGCTTCTAATATAAAAATGTGATAAGTGGAGATAAACTGGCATCACAAGTCTCAAGCAGCCTTTAGGTTTGCAAGAATGTCATAGATGACAATATAACAAATTAATTGTGGTTTAATATTCATGATTCCCTGTTAGCTGAGGAGTTAACTAGGCGCGGGAGGATTGTTTTAAAACATCAATTCACTCCTTCGAAATTTACCGACGAAAGTGAGAACGACGGTTATTGCGTTCTAGAAGAGAGACATAGTTCGGGTTATCCGCCTACATATGCGGCTTATTTGAAGTACGCAGATGATATTGTACTGAGGAGTTGTACGAGAAGTGGCCTCCGTCCCCGGATGGCTTCCACACCACAACACAGCTGCGAAAGTTGACCTCTTTTCAGCCCTCAGAAGTTTAAAGTTATGAGAAACTTATACGAACAGCAGAAATGATCTTCAAGTACAATGGGCGGTAAAACGACGAGAAGGGCAGTTTAAATAACTCGGCTGCATAATCGTCAGAAAGAATGAGGGTGCACGACAATTACGGTTAATGCACTGATCGAACATTGTTTGCAGTGTTTTCATTAGCATGTCTTATATATGAGCAGGCGAAGAAACGTTATATCCTATAAAAAGTTTACCCCTACTTGCTGAGGAGCGGTCAGCGTTTCTCAACTTCATGATTTAACGGATAAAGCATTGCAACTGAAAAGAACACAGCAGCATTGTCTTCAAAGCATTGGGAAAGTGTTAAATGGCAGGAATATGTAAGAAATGGTTCTGTTCTGTTCCAGGCACTATGGCCAGAGAGAATTAAAAATTTATTAAAGAGAGATTGGCTTTATTCGCAAAGCCGGTTGAGAATAAATCGTCACTTCGTTAGCTCCACAAGTGGAAACCGAAAAAGGCAGACGTTGACCGTTTGGCGATCACATGAAACAGCTGAGCAAGGTAGAAAGAATTTACTTCTTGGAGGGTGGTGTTCCTTTTACGAGGCAATTATGGGTGCCACGTAGCAAAACTATCGCAACTAAGTACCCTACATTACGAGCTGAAAATATTTCGCTAATGTAAATTGCATTGGGTGGCAATGATATCGTCGATATGGTTCAGTATTCTACTTTCATTTGTTCGCCAAACGCACCTTAAATGCTCTTAAGTTCAACAAAAAATTGAAATTTCTGTTTTGGGAACAAAAATTATAGTCAAAGCGGATTATATTACAGTAGGATACTTTATATCGGCCAAATTACGTCCATTCGTGGCATGTAGGCCATTACATGAATATCGTTTTTGGATAAATCTTTGTACATTATGTGGAAATTCGTTTTTGGCACAATTTCTATTTTCAAAAATAGCTAAGCTAATCACATTCAGCCGTGCGTAACACATAACTATGATCTCGAATGATTCTTCACACTCTTTGTTCAACATAATAATTATAGATGCATAAATAAGGGTTATGTTCAAATCCACACTCGTTTTGCAACCATCGTTATCATAAACATCAAGTGAGGTTTAATATGGAATAACTTTAAACCGTGTTAGAAGGAAATCACACCAAACAAGAAGAGAATGCAGTGACTTTGCTCCTTCAGTGTGATCCTGAGCACTTGAATATCTTCAACGTATTTCAGGAATCAGATCAATGCAGAAATGATGTTGAAGAATGCGTCACAAGGCCTAGCGTTTATTCGTTCTCTTTTGAATACTTATTTTGGTAAGTTGCAATGACTGATCCAAATGGCATGCTGTTGGCATTTCAAACCACTGTTATGTGTATATTGTCTGATCCTTAATGACGTCAATTACTACACAGGGAAAACCTTAAATTAAGGCAGCATGTGATAGGAAATTGTCCTCGCTTCACTTGAATGAATGACTGTCATCTGTGGCTTTCAAATATTCCATTGTGACAAAGAAATGAGAAATTTACCACGCACGAGTTGCCATTGAAGCAGTGACAGCGTATTCAGAAAATTCACAAATGATCTCAACATGCCAATTTTTCTTTTTATCAGTTGGGAGACACTGGCGTTTTATCCAGTTGCTAAAATGGGCAATCGATAAAATAGAAAACGGTTTGGCAATTTTGCCTTTAACTTTTTGGGATGGTTGAAATCTGGGACTATGAAAGGGAAAAGCATTTTAGCCGAGCACAGACGACATCACAACCCTCTCTGATGGTAAGGAGCAAGCAAAGCTCGGTTGGCTTCCCGTTGTCGTCATTGCTTATGTTTTGATTGTTCAGAGCTTGAACAGCACTTGTGAATTTTGACCATTGAAATGGCGCCTTGGATTTATGCTGCGCAAGCTGACTGTATTAACAAAGTCATATTCGTAGTCAAAAACAAGTGTGCCTCCTCCGACTATATCAAAATTGTGCTCTTTTCTATTATCTTTCAATGCATCTACTGTCACTGTACAATTTCCATAAGCGAAAAGCTATCAATATGTTTTCCTTACTATTTTTGTTTTTCTATCAAACCGCACACTGCGCTTGTTTCTGAGTTCCTCCAGGTTTCCTTATACCGCTGATTGGTGTTGTTCATTTGTTGACCTTCGTGCCTCACATCGCATTTAGAGGGTACATGTCAAGTAGCGCAGTCAGTTTTTGCCGAAATAAGATTGCATATGCTTATGGACAACAGATGTTTCCAAACTGTGCCTGATCACAGCAAATAAGTTACTTTCAAGATTATTAAGTTTTAATAAAAATTTGATTCTCTTGTGTATTTCTCAAAAAGGTAATTAAATAATTTTATAGGATATTGGCTGCCTGAGGAATCTGACAAATTACTGCGTTGCATTTGAAAACCGTTCATTATACCCTACCCCATTGCTCTGCCGAAGAAGATGGCTGTGTAACTGATTGAAAATGATCAATGAGGGGTATCTTTGTGAACTGTTTAATTTCATGAAGGTTTAATAATGAATTTCACTTTCTCCACTATTTTGGAATTCTAATTTTTTCTGCTATTTATTGTTTGGCATTGGTTTGATGAAATGACTGATGATTAAACGCCTAGGAATTTTCAAGCAACGGTAGTTAGGCACCTTGTGAATGGCTACTGCTTCCAACAGGCTACTGCTGGCACAGTGAGTTTCGCATGAGGCGAAGAAGAATAGAAACTGATCATCTCTTATTTTTAAAAAGTTCTTTACTGAGCAATGGAAAATTTTGCGTTTTACAATCTTCCGTTGATATCTGGTTTGCAAATCGTTCTTTTGTCACATGCTGACGCGAATTCGTGATAGTCGAGGAAAGCGGCATTTGTAAGTGCTTCATGAAGAGCAAACGCGACCGACGATCAAATGTTTGCTTGCGCCACTTGTATCTTCAAGTACAGTTCGTCGAGGAGTTGTTGACTGCCGCTGAGTGTTTTGCAAACCTCGGCCCCTCTGGCGGTCTCTTTATTACAGAGTCTATCTTGTTGTGTTTGGAGGTGATCGAGTTGTCACTGCACGAGGTGAAGTACCGAGTCTCAGAATAATGCGGTAATGGTCGCGACATACATTCATTTCACTGGTGCGTCTCTATTTGCTCCCGTGCCGTCACCCCGTTATCTGACCAAGTAGCTTTGGCTCCGTTTTGAGTACCGTGCTTTTCAGGATTTGCAGCAACAACGCTTGCAATCTACACCTCATTACCAGAGTATCGTGGTAGTGGTCCTCCACTTCTCCCATGCTAGTTTAAAATGCGGACCAGCAGCAGACAATCCGAAGAAATTCAAACTGCCAGGAATTGGCACCTTTCACATTGCGTAATGACGTTTGACAAAACAAATTTCTTGTGAATGCCAATTTTTATGAGCCATTTATGAAAACAGGTACTTTTTCTGTTTAATTAATGT